GTCCCATTTTAACTAGATAATCAACACTTGTTGTGCCATCTATTAATGGTATTAATGCTGTAATATCTTTGGATTTCTTGAACTATTCCTTATAAAATGTTCAAGACAATACAACATATATGGTATTATGTGTCACACAAACAAACACTGTGTCCAGACACTGTTGAGTTAACACAGTGAGGGTACAAGGAAGGTCAGAGGTCTGCTTCACTCTGATTGGTTTATTGACCCACTGTCCAGGGTTGTTACAGCCCTTAATTGTGGCTGTTGCTAAAGCTGCGTCCATACTTTCAATGCCAAACTCCAGCTATAATTTTTGTCCAAGTCATAAATATTTTGGCTCATTTCATAATGCAGCTGAGGAGAGGCTGGAGAAAGCAATCAGGAGGGCATGAAATATAGAGAACTCCAGAGAGTGCTTCATAAGAGACTAAAACAGAGTAAAAAATCAAACAAAACAGTTTTTTAGAACTTTTTCAATAGACTTATCTTTAATTCATATGTATCTTTAAACAAAGGCAGAAGAATAGAAGAGACAACCTGCACGCACTTAATGAGCGCAGCTATTTGCCATTTCAGCCATTGACCAGAATACACTCGGCACTGGGAATCGTTCCATTATTCAGGCAACCTTTCTGAATGGTAGATTGGTAGTTCAGGTTTGAGCAAAGCAGACTCTCACTGAATGCCTTTATGTTGTCCTGTTACCTGAATTATTCATCGCAGAGCTGAAATATGGACCTGAAATAGCCGGCCGCTAAAAACCTGAGTTAGGCAGACGAAGCAGGAAAGGTGGAGAGCGAAGAGGAGATAAAGAGACAAGAGGAAAAGGTGTGTGCTGGAGGTGACAAAGATGTGTGACGGAAAGCCGCATGGTGAAAACTGATGAGGTTACTTAACTGCACATGGAGGCAATTAGAAGACAGTTAATCCATTTAGTGAGCTGGCGGCAGCCAGATAGACACACATGCACACAAACACACAGGGTTTCTGTCTTCATGTGTCCGGCAGGATTTGGTTTCCCTCCTTCATGTTCACAATCAAAGCCGTCCACAGCAGAACACAGGGACGCTACGGCAGAGACACAGCTCAGACTAAACGCTTTCATCAAGACTTCTCCCTTTTTCCTCTTTCTCCGCTTTTCTCCACCTCCACACTGCTGCCACCAACCCTCCGCTTCTCTGTTACTCCTCATCTCGCCCGCTGCGTCTTACTTATTTAGTCTCATTTTCACAGTCTTTCTTTGTCCTCTGTACATTTTTAGTTGCTTTGTTCTTTAAAGACCCCCTCCAGTGAGAATCAAGTTATTTTTTTCCCTTGTTAACATGTCCATATGGTGTTTTTATGTGCTGGAAGACATATTATGATTAGAATAAGCAGTCAACACCATGGCTGAGTATTTCTACCGTCTAACTGCAATGTGCTGACAATAGTTTTAAAATCAGACCTCTGGGATTTAATATGTGACAAACCTTAAGAAGCAGTCCTGTGTGGGATTGAACTTTCTGTATCATTATTGTTCTTCACAATCAGTTTCTGGTTCAAACATGAACAGTCCCTATTGAAAGTTTTACCCTTTATTGATTTTTAACCCTGAATCATGAACAATATAATTCGCCCTTTTTTTCGACACAAATTTTCGTCAAAAAGACTCTTTCATGTCAAATGAAGACAGATTTCTACAAAGGAATGTTGACTAAAAACATTAAACGTAAAGTAAGCTATTGCACAAGTGTTTCCCCTTCAAAAAACACTATTTAGTAAATACACCTTTAGTCACAACTACAGAACTGATCCTGACTGGAGAGGTCTCGTCTGTGTAGCTTTCACTCTTTGCTTCAGCTTGTTGTCTTGCTGGAAAACAACAAGTTTCAGTTCTCTTGCAGACTGCAGCAGGTTGTTCTCCAGGATTTCTGTTCACTTTGCTGCATTAATTTCACTTTCTATCTTTAACAAGCCTTTCAGGACCTGCCGCCAAGAAGCATCCCCACATCATGATGCTGCCACCACCGTGCTTCATGGTGGGGATGGTGTGTTTGTGATGATGTGCAGTGTTTGGGGTCTGTGTGAACTCTAGTTGAAATTTGATGATCTTTTTCAACTCTGGCTTTCTCTTTTCCACTTTGCCATAAAGTTGTTGTATGAACAGTGTCTCCCATCTCAGCCGCTGAAGCTTGCAACCCCTTCAGAGGAGTCATAGATGTCTTGGTGGCCTCCCTCAGTAGTCTCTTTCTTGAACGGTCACTGAGGTTTCAATGATGGCCAGATTTACAAATGTGTTATATTCCTTCTATTTCTAAATGCTGGATTTAACTGTACTTCAGGGGATATTCAGGGACTTGGACATTTTCTTTAATCCATCCCCTGACATATGCTTTTAACCTTTTCACAGAGTTGCTCTGAGTACTGATTTAAACGTGACTGAACCTTCCAGATACAGGAGTCTTTATTCTAGAATGACTTGAGGCACATTCACTGCACTCACATATTCTCCGTTTCATTAACTGTGCGACTTCTAGCACCAACTGGCTTCACTTGTGTTGAATTCACTTTAGAGAAGGTGAATGCAGTCACTTACATTTACATTTTATACTTTTAGTTATTTGACATTACTTTGTAAGAGTTTAGTTTCACTTTGAGAGGAATAAGTCTGATATTGTAAAGTTCTGTTAAGAAAGCCAAATTAAATTGTCCATGATTCAGTGTTGAAAAGCAGTAAAAGCGGAAAACTTCCAAGGGGTGCGATTACACTTCATAGGAACTGTATAGCTGAATGACTTTAACATTACAACAGGCATCTAAGCAGAGTAGTAGGGATTATTCTCACGGGGAAAAAACTGCTCAGAATTTAACTTTGATACAGGATTTTAGGAGTTAAATCAACAACCAAAGAGGGACTTTGCTTGGAAATTGTTGCTTGGAATGAACATCTGAGAAAGCATGCGGATTGGATGAGAGTATGCATTTATTTATACGATTCTGTCACGTCAAGGCACTCTGCACAGCATATTGTCCCATCTGGCAAAACTCTAATGTATACTCTTTGTCTTATTTTCTTTTTTATTTCCAACTAAAAATAAACACCTTATTCTACTGAGAAAATAACAATCACAACTTCCCACAGGTTGTGTAGGTAGTGTTTTTAAAATGTCTTTGTCATCAGCTTTAAAAAAAGAAAAAAAAAGACCAACAACAACAACAACAAAAACTAAATATATTCCAATTGCAATCACAGAAAATCAGCAATTACTCAAATTTGATAAGCTGGAATCAGATAATTCCTGGCGTGTTGCTCGAAACATGACATCTCAAAATGAGTGAGTTTAGGAGTAGTATATCAACATTTACACCCAAAACGTTTTAATTGAATTCAGCTGAATGGGCTCCTAATTTGAGCTGCACTTTAAATACCTCAAAATCCAAAGGATGGGGATTCAGCCATGATAACTAATAAACCGACCCTGGTAGGCAGCAAAAAATGATGTTGCATTTTAAAGACATTTCAAGGCATGTTTGTCCCCTAGGCTGCTGGCACATACAGAAAAAACAAATTTGCAACGAAAAAAAATATCAAAAACATCCCAAGCACACACACCATCCAAACAGACAGCCACACTTTGATGTGCACGGTGAGATGTTTCCAGCGGACTGCAGTGAGGACTCCCTCAGGAGCGTGGGAGAAATCCACAGCCTCAGAGCCCGTAACTGTGTCAAGCACCTACTCCCACACACAGCCCGGGGTTTCTAATAAAACACTGATTCCTCTGCAAAATCGATATTTCGTGCAGCTTTGTGCCAAACAACACGCTGAGCGCTGCGCAGAAAGGCTGCAAACAATCAGGCTTGGACTGAACAAACACATAAAGTTGAATCTGATTTGCAAGAAAAGCCGCGACTCTAAATTGTTGATATTATTTAAAATATCCAAACAAAAGGTTGGAAGTTTGGGTTAAAATACGCTGCGTAAAAGTTGGATTTAAGCATTTTTTTATACGTGCATTAGGCTGTTAAATGTGTGGAATCTAATCTTTTCCTTTCAGTGTGAAAGAGCTGTGGTTTTATTGGCAGCTGAAGTTAGTGCAGGTTGGATAGATGGAGGATACCTGCGTGCCAACTGCTCACCAAGCGCTGCGTATTTTAAACCAAAATGTCTTTATCAGACGAACACGCACGCACATTAAAAGCACATCCTTTCATTTACTTAACGTTTTAGCAAACTGCACTCTTACCTCTTAACTCTTGAGTCGTGCGCTCAGTGATCCATGTCCGCAACCTGTGAGCGTTGAGGAGAAGCGTCTCTTCCGTCCTGCGGTGTGGAGCAGCCGAGCACATGCTCAGCGGCAGCAGCAGCAGCTCCAGCAGGCAGTGCAGCTCTCGGAGGGGACGGACAAACCGCTGCTCTGTCCGCAGGCACAGCTCACACTCCTGCTGGATCCAACCCAGACGCTGCTGTCAGGATGTTGGGCTGCAGGAGGAGGGAGGTGCCAAGGCTTACTATCAAGGTCATTCCCATTAAACCACCAGCCAAAGCGCCAAACGGACCTGTTGGTGGGGTCTATCTTTGAGGAGCAACTTTAAAGTCAACCTCTGAGTGTGAAGCAGTTTTCTTTTTCTCTCTTTGTTCTTGTCACATTTTTT